GATTTTATCCAGGCCAGGGGTGGATTCAATGCCAATGGCAACCAGCACCAACACAGCCCTGGTCTGAAGGGGGATTGCCCAGACAGCAGACAGCAGCCACATTCCCTCCACGCGACCAGGGAAGCAGGCCACACCCATCTTTCTCCTGGCAACCACAATTGCAGCCCCAACCAGCAGCGAGGCCACAGAGACCCTTATTCCAGAGAGGCACTACCCAGCCAGGATTCAGGGGGCCTACCCAGCCTAAGTACGCTACCCGGCCTGTTCCTTCCATTCCAATACAACCTGCAGGGGCCTGGCATGTGCCACCTCCGCAAACATGACCCAGGCCAGACGGAATACCCTTCAATGGCCACCATGAACATTTCAATTACTTCCTCACTTGAATCTAATCCCATATAGAATAATTTGGAGATCAATATGCCACAGAGCGTGATTTCGTCACAGCCATAACAAATGGGATGAATGAAGTTCATGCTTCAGACTGGGTGGGCTAACTACACAATGAACAAGCCCCCGAATTATATGACATAAACAGATTAATTCAATTATTGAGACTCAGATTTGAAAATCTAGAGAGGGTAGCAGAGAATGAAGAGAAGTTAATGGAAATAAGGCAAGGCAAGCGACCCTTGTCAGAATTCATCTGGGACTTTAGAAGGGTCGCAAGCCACCTTATGGATTGGCCTGAAAGAATGACTTTACACTATTTTATAAAAGGCATTGATCCAGAAGTAAAGAAGGCCTGTAAAATTAGGGGAATCCCAGAGACCTTACAATCGTGGTATGTCGCATCCCTCAGCTTAGATCGTAGCATCAACCCACACAGGAAACCCCTTCCAGCAGCCCTGCCTGAGAGAATTGTAGTTAGGAGACAGCCAACCGGATCAGCCAAATCTGCTCATACCCAACCTACCAGGGTGCTGAAATTTTACCGATGTGGCCAAGCCATCCATAGAGCAGCAGACTGTCTGGCCCCTGCTCCTGTACCACAAGGTCCGTGGTTGAAGTCTAATCCAGCTGTTAGAGGTCGGAAGAATCAAGAAAGACCTCCAGCCAGGGGCAGGTTTGCCAAACACAGCTGGGAAAGCCCCCTCTACGCAGATGGAAGCAATGGACCACCAGACTGCCACCACATCCCTGAGAACCCGACCTGCGAAGACGACCCAATGGTGAGTGATCCCATCATACCTTTTACAGTCAAGGTCAAGTGAGTGGTACGAAACATGGGGGAGGCCAGGGAGTTAGAAGCTGTTATTGATACTGGGTGTTCTAGATGCCTTATCGGACTCCCCATCGTTGAAAAATTGGGCATAAAGACTAAGCCGCTAAAACGCCCAGATTTGAGCAAGTGGATGGAACCTTAATTGGGGGGCCTCAGCCACTCAGATGACTGAATTGATCAAGATAGAATTAGGGCCCCGTCGTGAACTCATATGCTTCATAGTGGCCCCCAGGAATCAATCATACTGGGACTTGCTTGGCTAGACAAATGGGCCCCGATGATCAAACAGGAGGATGGATTCAGAAAAATCCTCATTGGACCGGGCCCATTGCCCCCTCTTCACCCACTACAAAGCCACCGGTCAGCTTGAACCCAGACCCTGAGCCACCATCCATGGCATCCCACTTCTCCCAGACAACCCCCAGGTACCCGACCAATACAAAGACTTGGCTGAAGCATTCAGTGAAGAAGAGTGTAATGTCTTACCTCCCCATTGAGCCACTGATTGTGCCATAGAATTAGAGGCCGGGGTGAAATTACCAAAACCAAAGATGTATTCCATGATGCCTGCTGAAATGACTGAATTAAAAAAATACATCAATAGCAATTTGGAATGAGGTTTTATTGAGCCTGCCAAATCAAGACTAGCTGCCCCTGTGTTGTTCAAGAAGGATGGCGTGTTGAGATTGTGTGTTGACTTTAGAGGCGTGAACGCTGTATGCATCAAAAACATGTACCCTCTCCCCCTTATGAAGGACTTCTTGAACCACCTGTCGAAGGGCAAGATATTCACCAAGCTAGATCTCAGGGAAGCTTGCTACCGGGTCCACATCAAAGAAGGAGATGAGTGGAAAACTGCTTCAAACTGCCCTCTGGGTAGCTTCCAATTTAAATTCATGCCTTTTGGAATTCAGGGGGCTCCTGCAGTGTTTATGCAGCTCATCAATGAGGTGTTACACCCGCACCTTTACCAGGGGGTCCTTGTGTACCTGAATGACACCCTTATCTCCAGTGAAACCATGGAAGAACATATTCAATTAGTCCGACAAGTTCTAGAAAAGCTTCTAGCCACCAAATTATATGTGAAACTCTCAAAATGTGAATTCCACAAAGAGTCGTTGGACTACTTAGGCTACCGAATATCCAACCTGGGGATTGAAATGGACCCCGGAAAGGTGAAAATGGTGCTGGACTGGCAACCCCCCATGATCTGAAAACAACTTCAAAGTTTCTTGGGGTTTGCCAACTTCTATAGACAATTCATTCCGTCCTTTGCTGAAGTTGCCCTCCCACTGATGGAGCTGTTAAAAATGGGCCCATCACCCACCAAACCAAAGCCAAGTCAACCCCTGGCTTGGACTATGGACTGTCAGAAAGCTTTTGAGGCCTTAAAGCGCCTTTTCACAGCTGAGACCATCCTCCAGCACCCAGATGTGACCAAGCCTTTTATTGTCCAAATGGATGCAAGTGATGTAGCGGTGGCAGCTGTTTTGCTGCAAAAGGACTCTCAAGGCAGACTGATGTCTTGTGCTTATGTGTCCAAAAAGCTGACAGACACAGAGCGAAGGTGGGCAGTCTGGGAGAAAGAAAAATTCACCATACAATGGGCTTTGTTGACTTGGAGGCATTTTCTAGATGGGGTGCCAGAGGCCTTTGAGGTATGGACTGATTATAAGAACCTCAAGGCTCTAAAGACTCCTAGGAGATTATCGCCCAAACAAGTCCGCTGGGCCCAATATTTCAAGCAATTCAACTTTAACATTAAATATAGAAGGAAAAACGTACTGGTGGACACTCTGTCCAGAGAACCTCAGTTTGACAGCCACCAAGAGGAAATACTACAAGCCTTAATTTCAGAAGCTCAATTGGCAGGCCAAGTGTCCACTCGAGCCCAAGCCAACTGCAACCCAAACACCTGGAAGATAAGTTGACTACAGAATTGAAAATGGCCCTATTGACCAACCCTTGGTTCCTGGACCATCAAACCGAGTTGACAATGAATGATGGATTAGCTTGGAAAGGGACTAAGCTTTATGTACCCACAACCCTAAGACTACTGGTACTAAAGGGTAGCCACGACTCCCAGCTGGGAGGCCACTTCAGATTCCTAAAAACCCTACATTTACTGAGAAGAGAGTTCTGGTGGCCAAAAATGAAACCTGATGTCGAGGACTATGTAAAAAGTTGCTCAATTTGTGCCACAATGAAACACAGAACTGGAAAAAACCCTGGCCTCCTGCAACAAGTTGCTGAACCAACCTAATCTTGGGAAGAGATCGTAATGGACTTTATTGTTGAATTACCTAAGAGTGAAGGGAATACGATCATTTGGACTATAATTGACTTATTCTCTAAACAGGCCCATTTTATAGCCTGCAAAATACTTCCATCTGCAAAAAAACTTGTAAAGCTGTTCGTGAAACATATCTATAGACTACATGGAGTACCTCGCAGAGTAATATCAAACAGAGGGGTACAATTTACTGCAAAATTTTGGAGGGAATTTCTGAAATCCATTGGCTCACCTCAAGGGTTATCCTCAGCTTTCCATCCTGCTTGTAACAGAGCAGCGGAGAGGGATAATGCCATGATTGAACAATACATTAGATGCTATATAAATTATCAACAAGAAAATTGGGCTGAGTTATTACCTTTTGCAGAGGTTGCTTACAATAATGCAGTACATAGCAGCACGGGATTAACTCCATTCCAAATCAACACTGGAATGGATTTTGTCCTGATGCCAGAGTTACCTAGACAACCTCCCTCACCCATGTCCCTAGCAGAATGGATGAACTCATTAAAGAAAGGATGGGAAGATACAAAAAAAAGCTTTGATTGAAGCTGCAAAAAATTATAAAAAACAGGCGGATAAACATAGATCCCTTCAACCTCCTTTTAAAGTAGGGGACAAAGTATATTTGTCGACCAAGTATCTCAGGTTGAAACTGCCCAGTAAGAAGCTGGTTCCAAAATTCTTGGGTCCGTTCCCAATTTCAAAGATAATCAATCCGGTCACTGTCCAATTAAGTCTTCCTTGACTATTAGGGAAAATTCATCTGGTGTTCCATTATAGTTTACTAAAACCAGCTACTACATCAATGATAAGACCACTGCCAATTGCTCCCCTAAACTTTTAATGGTACATGGGGAAACACATTATGAGATTCAAAAAATTCTCGATTCTAGATTACACCTTGGCCGATTGCAATATTTGGTCTTATGGAAAGGATACCCCCTCTCAGATGCTACTTGAGTAAAGAATTGGGATGTTCATGCTGATCAATTGGTTAACCAATTCCATGAGGATTTTCGCCACAAATTGAAGGGTCCTTGTGGGAAGGGGGAGAGAGGGTTAAGGACAATATATTAACCCCTGTATGTGTTTTTTTTTTTTTTTAGGAGAAGTAGTTTTCGAGGGGGGACACCTGTCAGCTTTGAAATTCAGCTGCCACATTTTTTTAGAGAGTTAGAGGAGTTGAAAAGTTCAAAGTTATTCTGTATATTGTATTAAGAATTTCCAGTTGCAGTTAATTGGTTCTCGTGATTTATGAAGTGTAGAAGTGGGAGGAGAGAAGGTGGATTCTGTGTAACATGCGAAAAAACTTTCACTTGGGAAATTGCTTTTGACATGCCAGATCTGTTTCTAATAAATCAATTGGAGAGATAACGTCTTGGAGTGATTGATATCATGGATACTTTTTGGATGCCTTACAAGCTGCCATTCAATGTTAAGATAAAAGATGAAACCTAATTTGTTCTTAAAATTGCTCACCTTTCTTTTTGACTGGTGGTTGAATTTCTTCTGCATGGGAGGAAAAAAACACAAAGTTACTAGTGAATTTGAAAGGCATTCTTCTGCAATCTTAAACATTTTTTTTAAAAAAAGAAATTCTGACAAAATTAAGGAAGGGCCTAACTTCTGCCTGAATAGGATGAGCTTCCAAGTAACTGGTTCTATTCATTATTTTTAATCTCAACTATATTGTTTTTATAAATAAAGAAATTATCATATGTAATACTCCTCCCTCCCTCCTCTTTTCCCCACAACCTCAACCCTGTGAGAGGAATTGGACTGAGAAGGAGAAGGATTGGCCTGAAGTCATCTAGCCAGCTTTCATTGCTAAGGAAGGACTAGAATTCACAATTCTCCCAGGTTCTGGCATGATGCCTTAACGACTAGACTAAACTAAACTGGTTTCTTTAATGCTGATTGCTGATTCAATAGGACATCACTGTGGAAACCAGGCAAGTGGCTGCCAGTCACTTCTTAAAAACTTCCAGTGATGGAGCACTATAATTTTAAGTACAATGGCATATACAGGTTCTGTTGAATCACTATCTTCACCAGTTTATGAGTTTGAAGAATTTCACTGATACCACTTTATAGCTAAACCTGACCAATTCCATGTAAACATTCCTTTTCCCCCTTGTTCATATAGTTCATCCTTTGAGGACAAAAGCTATTTCACTGGATATGGGAAGAACTGGATACCAGAGCACTTTCCTCCATTTTGAAGGAAATGAACTGAAAGCTGCTAAGTTTCTCCTCCATAGAAAACTGATTCCATCAGGGCCAGGGACTTCATAATTTGTTCCCAAGTGAGGAACAAATATCTGTTGTTTTTTCACAATTAATAAGAATATTTTCAAGTAATAAATCCTTATCCATCATTATTACTCTGACGGTAGCTGCATGTCTTATACAAAATGCAATGCCATTAATTTTTACAGTGTCCTTCAATAAAAAAAAACTACCCTAGGTGTCAGAATTTAAAATGGAAGCACTACATTCAAACAAAGCCATTGGCTCCACTGAATGAGCAGCCTTATTTGCTTCTTTTCCATTTTTTGCATTAGCTTTGGTAGAACTTCACAAGTTTAAGAAGAAAGTCCTAGTTGCAAAGGAAACACAATGTAGATAAATGTGCTAAGCTCCATGCCATTTCAGTCTCTGTTCAGCTCTTTGTAATGTACTTATAAAATGTAAGACAAAATCTGATGAGAAAGGCTTCCTCATTTGGGGAAAGTCAACTTGATCAACTAGATTTCCATAAAGAGAATATTTAAGAAGTCAGTTTTCCTAGATCAATGATCTTCTGAAATAATATTATTTAAATAGGGGCAAGCAGCCACTTTCCTTGATTCTTAAAGAATTCATATTCAATTTTTCCAAATATAAAAGGTAGTGTTTGGAAAATGTTTCCCCACCCCACCCCATCCATATTTAAATGTCACACAGCTGTTAAAGGCACAGGAATTTTATCAAAAAACAAAACAAGTTGTTTAGGGCAGTGGCAACTTACTCAGGCTTTTAACTTTAGTGGATAACTCCTTTAGTTATTCAGGCATACAACTTCCTATCCAGGAGCTGACTATTCTGCATGGCTTTCAAATGATATTTATCCAGAGAAGAAATGTGCAATTAGCAGGAAGATGCATAATTAGCAAAGCCCTGGCAGTACAAAGCTGCTGCATTGTTTCTGCCCTAATACCCACTTAATCGCACAATGCATGTGATTCTTTATAAAAATCAACAAACCTTTTACTTTCAGGTACGGCTCTCCTTCACCTAAGCCAAGAGAGAAAATAATAAGCAGAATAAAATGAATAGCAGAATAATAATCTAGTTGCATTCTTATTCCATGCTAGATTATTTTCATATTTAAATGCATTCAAGCGTTATGACTGGTAAATGAAAAAGATAAAAGAAAAGAAGCTCCATTTTGAGATTTTTGTATTGCTATTTTTTATGAGCATATCAGGATTTATGGAAATGATTGTGATCTGAGATAGGAATGGACAAATATGAGTTTATACATTGAATTCAAGTGGCCCAAGCACCAAATAGATTTTTTTTCATTGCAATTTCAATATTTTCCATTCCAATAGCATCTATTGTGCCAAATCTGGTTTCACTCCCTTAACCCAGTGATACATGCTTGCCTCTATTATACTTTTTATTTGTCCTGACAGCCTCAGATGATATGGTGGCAATATTTTGGCTCTTTTTTATTATTTGGGGAAGCTGGGCCTTTTTGCTTGACCTAGCCCTGATTGCCCATATACATCCTACAATTGTTTAGGAGTTTGAAAAGCTCTAATTAAATAAAGGGCCTCCAAAAATCCCTTAACTTTGAGATTTTGACCTGTATCATTAGTTGACTACAGGTAATTTGAACAAATGAACATTGAGGTCAAACACTTCCTTTCTGGGACCTTTGACCTTTCAGATAAACTGAATGATATTTTTTCATAATTTCCAGATGTCATTGAATTGCAATCTAATATAATTGGAGTGTATCAAATTGTTAAAGGTTGCTATCATTACCAGGGCTACTTCAAATATAATTCCTAAACAGTACTTCAACGTGTGTGTGTGTGTGTGTGTTATGTTTTTGCGGGTATTTATATGTATGGTATTTAGGTTTCTTCAGGTATTTTCCCATGTCTTAATATCTGTGCTTTTATTATAGCAACGTTTCGGCAGAATCTCATCTGCCATCCTCAGGCTTGTGTATTGGGTTCTTTTTAATCTTGTGTGTCAGGTTTGGCAGCCGTTTTTTGTTTGAATTTGGTGCTGGCTTTCTGCTTTATTTGAATGGTTTTTTTCCTCATCCTGATTGGCTGGGAGTCTAGGTCTGTTTTTATTGGTCTTCAAGTTGCTGTGTTCTTGATTGGTTGGCAACATTGTGTTTTATGCATTGGGGTTTCTTAGTGCAGCTTGGGTTCTTTTGAATGGCCAATAATTATTTATTAGGAAGCTAGGTTTTATTTGGGTAGCTGGCTGGGGCATGTTTGGGCTGGAGGTATTAGGGGAGGGGTCTGTTTGTGTCCAGATGCTTGCCTGGATTGTGGTATAGAGATTTTTTTGTTTGTGAGTGCAGGCTTCCAGATGATTGATAGTCTGGTGGAGTCATCCCTTCTATTCATACTATTAGGTCTTTTATCAATTTCTATGGCTTCTCTGATGATTCTGTAGCCGGGGATTTCTATAGTAGCTAGGGTTTTGGTGCCATTGAAGTCGATACTATGACCTGTGGCTTTCATATGTTGGACTAGTGAGGAAGTGTGTTCCAGCTTTTTTATTGCATTCTTGTGTTCTTCAAGGCGGGTACTTATCCTTCTGTTGGTTTGTCCTACGTATGCGGCAGGGCATGATGTGCAGGGTACTTGATATATGTCTTGGTTTTCTGGGTCAATTTTATCTTTGGGGTTTCTTAGGATGGCTGCTATTTTTTTGTCTGTTTTGAAGGCAGTCTTGATGTGATGCCTGCGTAGTATCTTGCCGATTTTGTCTGTTGTTCCTCTTATGTAGGGCAGGACATCTGTTCCATAGGTTTGTTCATCTTCTGGGTCTCTATTGTGTTTCAGTGTGTTTTTGTGGATCAGGTATCAATCAGTATTTTGGTCAGGGTGCATAGTTCAGTCTTTATGTGTGCCTTGTCTGCCAGGCATTTGGTTCTGGTAATTAGTGTTTTCAAAACACTAATTACCAGAACCAAACGCCTGGCAGACAAGGCACACATAAAGACTGAACTATGTACCCTGACCAAAATATTGATAGCAAACAGCTTCCACAAAAACAAAATCACATACATACATACATACATACATACATACATTCATACATACACACACATATATACATACATATGCGCGCGTGCACACACACACACACACACGCACACGCACACACACACACATATACTGTATATGAATGATCCTGGAGAAAAATGAAGCAGCATTAAAGAATATCATAGAGGTGCTGTTTGTATTCCCTAATGTTTTGAAATGCAAACTATTTCCTGTTCCTAATAATGACCATGACAGTTCTTCTATTTAAAAGAAAAATATCTTTCAATCAAGCCTTAAAATAGAAAGACTTCTAGTATCTTCCCTCTTTTGGAATTTCTAATTGGTATAGGCAATATATGGTTTCCAAAAAACATAAAAGGATCTTCAAACGTTTTGAATTATAATCTGCTTCAGTTTTGAGCTCTTATGAACATTATTACTATAATGTACACATTTTTAATTAGAAATTACAGGCTTTTGAAAGTATTGCTGTATTATATTTAATATAGGGTTTTTGAGAAAGAATATAATTCTTTTCAATTCTTTTTGAAATAAAATATAGGATGTAAATGGGAACTAAAATTCTCTCAGTAACTCTGTTTTGCTACTACAGTTTTACACTTTTTTGTCACAACTAAAAAATCTTACACGACAATTCTTGTTTAAAAAGGATTAGAGTTGCGTTTCTCTTCAGTAACATGGGTAAATGATCTGACACTCTATCAAGAAATGGAACCCCGTGGTAAAACAACATAATGGTTAGTATTTGCAGATGGTACTAATCGAAGATCTCAGCAGTGGTCCAAATTATATGCTACTTCAAACTATCAAATGTCCTTGTCAGGAGCAGTGTTACATGGAGAGCGGTTTTTCCTCAGGCTCTAGAGGGTGTGGTTTCATGTGTTGCCAACATCCTGCGGATGAGGTTTTGCTTATTTGCGTGGCCTAGTTTCTCGCATGCTGTGGACCAGTGGTGGTCCACAAATCGGGGGCTAAGGACCCCTGCTGTACTTTAACCCAAGTAGTAGATAAGCAACCTATACATGCATATCCATATATAATATGCATACACAAAAATTTCCATTTTCACTCAAGAACCTTGCCACTACAGACCCCTCACTGTCACAGCTAACTATCAAGTGATACATTTTGGCTAGAAATTAGAAACTGTATTACCATGAGCCTCAAATATGCACTGTTTTATTATTATGTCTAAACAATAATTAATACTATGCCATAGGAAAAAAAATCTGCTATGGCGAAATCATTTAAAAAGAAGCTAATTCTGAGATGTTAAGCCATTTATTCGTGAGTTTCATTAGAAGTTCACGAGGACTGGCACATAACCAATTTTTAAATTACTTTAAAAGGGAAAAAAAGGCCCTATTACATCCCAAGCTCCCCAAGCCCATAACATGGACTGTTGTTTAGACAAAACCATCAAAAGCCTCTTTGAGTTGTTGGACTTAGTTATGCAGTTTTCCCAAACTACTGCCAATGTATATGTTGACAAGACCACAGGTAGCATATTAGCATTCAGATTTTCTTTCAGTTGGACTGAAATGTTATTGTTGATGCCAGCAGCTCTGACACCAACTGATTAATACAAAATGTAAGGTGGGACAATTGAACGTTCTTAGATTTGAAAGCATCCAATGTCCATTTAGAATTGCTGTTGCTCAAATATTCCTCTCTCACACAAAATTAAAATGTAAGACTTATGAATAGGACTGCTGAAGCTAATTCCTTGGCAGCATGTTTGTCCTGTAGTTCTATCATTTTTTGTATATTTTAGAGCAAGGCTGAAAATAATGCTAACATTTTAATTCTGACATTCTTCCTCTAACAGTGCATGACTTTATTCTACAAAAAGAAGAAAAAGGAACTATGCTGGCTATTTAGTAAACTTTAGTGCTCTGAGAGTGACATTTCATATTAATTTTTGCTTTTAAAAAAAGGTGTAGCAAGATAAATCAAATCAACAACCTAACTTAAACTTACCTTTTCCATTCTCATCTTCATCTTCAAATATGAGGTCAGACAGTAAAGAAAGAAAGCCATAAATGGAATTGGTGCTCTCTTCCACAGCACCATGCATGATTCTAAATGGATCCGTGGTGAGTTTGTTTATGGACTGTCCTAAATACAAAATAGAAAGAATTAATTAACTGATTTATAACCCCTTTAAAAGAATACCTCTTCGAAACATATTTAATTATACATGCATTAACAGAAGCTAGAACTTATTTGCTCAGAATTGGAAAAGCGATATGATACCAATAGAGGGAAAAGTAATTGAGAAAACATTTGAATGTGCAGAGATGAATAGGTAAACATTGGTAATCAAAGAAAAAGAAGAAATGGAATATTACATGGTATGGGATTTATTTTATCAATGGTTGGAAAATAAAACAAATTAAAATGGATTAGATGAATATATAGAGAAACAAGTTAAGATTATTAAATAATAATAGATATATCAAATAATAGCTATAAGAAAATGTGATTATTGCTATATTAGTAAGAAAAGTATTAATTATAATTGTAAGCACAAGATATGTGTACCCAGTCAACACACAGTTTGAAACGAAAGATGGAATTATTGTAAATAAAAAATAAAAAAGAACTTTTTTTAAAAAAAGAATACCTCTTCTGAGGAGTTAGCTTTGATATAAGTTATAATGAGACTACAGCATTAGAGTAGCCCTGCTGGATCTTTTGGTTCACCATTCACCCGTTTAAAGAGTTATTTTTTCAACTCTTCACAGTCGCTTTTGTGTTTTACCTTCATTCAAGAGCCTGTTGATTCTCTCAAACAGCTCTAGAAAGTTGGTGGGTGAAGTAGGATTTATACTGACTTTCCTTCAGCAAGATGTACCCTTCCATACACTTAATTATTTCTTGTATAATTACCGTTTCATTCAGAAAAAGCATTAAATTGAAAAGACTAAAATTTCCTGAATCTCTCTTGGTTTCATAGCGAATTGTCTATTTCAAATATTTATTTTATTTATTTATTTTGATTTGTTAATTGCTTACAAGATAATAGGTATAAGTATAAACATGAGTAAGAATACAGGAAATAGGTACAAATAAATGGGACAATAGGACAGGGACGGTAGGCATGATGGTGCACTTATGCACGCCCCTTACAGACCTCTTAGGAATGGGGTGAGGTCAATGTATTTCACTCAATCTCATATAATAATTGAGAAAATAATAAAATTTTAAAGATGAGTACACAACCTAAATCAGAGAGTTTAAGGGTCTGATGGATAAGTAGATGAGGGGAAAAGCACGTATTCTTTCAAATACATTGAAAGAAGTCCACAACATTTCCCACAGTGCATATTTAATTATTATTATTTACAGTATTCTTTTTCTAACAGTTTGGGCTTCTAATTATGATACATATAAATAACAACTTTTTTATTTCCTGAAGGAAGCCTTTCTATTTTTAAAGCTTCCTGGACACTACAACTAATCTATGTTGGTTAGCTTCCTGGATTTTGCCGATCCTTTCATAATGTGATACAGGTAGTTCTCGACTTAAATAGTTCATTTAGTGATCATTCAAAGTTACAATGACACTGAAAAAAGTGAGTTATGATCATTTTTCACATGACCGTTGCAGCATTCCCATAGTTGTGTGATGAAAATTCAGACACTTAGCAACTGACTCATATTTATGATGATTGTAGTATCCTTTGGTCATGTGATCACCTTCTTACAAGCAAAGTCAATAGGGAAGCTAGATTCACTTAACAACCATATTACTAAATTAACAACTGCAGTGATTTACTTAACAACTGTGTATATAAAAACAAAGTTCCATGGTTTTCCCCTCATCTACTTCTTCATCAGTCCCTTAAACTCTCTGATTTAGGTTGTGTACTCATCTTTAATTTTTTATTATTTTCTCAATATTATATGTGATTGAGTCTGAAATTTTCTAGCTTTTTTACAACATAAATTTGAAGAACGTTTATACATACTAGACAGTTTTGTCTGGTGACATGTACCAACAATACATTGCCTTATATTATTTTTCTGAAATATCTCACCCTTCCAAACTTGATGCTGCTTAGCCCCTGTTAACTTTCCCCCAGGGGATTACTTCAAAGCTGCTTTGGCAGCATGTTGAGGTTAAGTGTCAGTAGTTTGATTCCACTTCAGTTAAAGGAGACTCCATCTCTCCAATTTTGTTTGTCCAGAAATATTCCCCAAGGCCTGTCAAATGTGAAACTTTCCACTGGGTACTATATTTCATCAACACATTGATAGCCTTGAGCTCTGCCTATCTACTTGTTCCTATGAGTAGAGCAGGTAGCATTCTAAGAATGTAATGAACTTTCTAATTTCTAGCCTTCGATTTGTTATCCAGCAGCCTGAATTTGATTTTTCAGGACAGGCTAGCTGCATTTTCCAATGTCACTAGTGTCAAAGGAGACTGGGATCATTGCCTTATTCCTCGCATTGTTTGTCTATTTATTTAAACAATGTGTAAAAACTCCCAACTTTGCACTAGGCAGGCAAGTCACTGTGTGATTATAAGTACTGATGGAGCTGAGTAGCAGTAAAGAGATAAAATGTTCACTGGGACATGTCAATACAAACTCTGCCTCTTATGCATTTTGTGCAACATGATGATGCAAATATTAAAGTATACAGCTTGCATCACAACATCCTAATACATACATTGCCTTTTTGTCATTGCTGTGGTTGGAAATGGACACCTATACATGTGCAAAACTTCACAAACCCCTCTCTGCCTCTAATGTTCAAGTCACCCAAATTAAAATAAGAATAGTTATTCTAATCTTGATAGTTATTGTCAGGTTAGCATTTCTGCCAGCACAGAAAAATAATAAATGTTTAGCAAGCTAATTCTCCTGTTATTCATAGGTTCATTTGGGGGAAAGGAGCTATTTCCTATCATTACTATTACAAGTAATAAAGTAAATTCTCACATCAAGATAAACTGCACCTTCCAAAGATCTCCCAGAAAGCATGGTTATTACTGAAAATTGTAGAAATTAAATATAATCAACAGAGCATCAAGGGGAAGATTGTGCTAAGCCAGGGGTATCAAACTCAAGGCCCACAGGCTGTATCTGGCCTGCGATGTGGTCGGATCTGGCCTGTGGGGAGTCCTGGACTACCCAATGTGAAGAGGAAAGATCAGCTTGGTCTATCGAGTGCAAAAAGGAAAGATAGGGCCAGCATGGCGTTGGCCCGGTCTACCCAATGAGAAGAGAAAACATGCCAACAGTTTGGGGAGTAGCGTCAAGCTGGCTACACCCACCCAGTTGGCCACATCCACCATCACCCCGAGGTCAACCACAGCCTTGATGAAGCCCTCAATGAAATAAAGTTTGACACCCCTGTGCTAATCTGTACAGTGGTCTGTTTGGTTTGGTATAGTATAATATATGAATCAGGCTATGATGGCTTGTTAGCAAATGATAACTGAACATAATGCCTGAACACAACTCAGAAAAGGTGACAATAAGCAGGGATAACTCCAAAAATGATCGAGTAGAAAATTGATCTAAACGATATTTTAGCCTTAAGGAAGATATTAAAACTGAGAATATGAACACTTAGGACAGATCTGCATTCTCTGTTTGTCCCACCAAGAATATAGACCAGCCACTGTTTCCTGAATAACAGCAACAGATGATGTCATCTTCCATCCATGCCTAGTATATTCCATGCTTATTTTTTCCAGCTGTTCTTCATGTATTTCTTTTTTACTTGATCCATCTTAAGCCCTTCAGGACAGTGGTCTGCAATGCTTTGTTCTCATTTAGTGACAACTTCAATTCCAAATAGCCACAGCATCCATCCCTCCAACAGCTGGTCACTGACCTATGGAATTTTTTGTATCCTGTTTTCCAGGCTGCTGTATTTCAGACTGATCAACAACTGCCATTTTTTAATTATGATTTTAGAATTTATTCAACTCCCTGATTCTAAGAAGCAAAAAAATATATATTTTTAAAATATATTTTTAATTATCACTTGCTTCAGTAAAGATCATTTTGCTACTCCTTCCTGATCTTGGAAATAAGATTAGGGACAGAAATATGGGTCAACAAAAATCTATATGGGATACAACCTGAAACAGAGAGCCAGTTTGGTTAGTGTTTAAAGCATCAGGCTAAAAACTGGGAGATCATGAGTGCTAGTACCACCTTGGGCACAAGCCAGCTGGGTGACCTTGGGCCAGTTGCTTTTTCTCAGTTTTTGGAAGACGGTAATGGCAAACCACTTCTGTAACAAAATCTTGCCAAGAAAACTGCAGAGACCTGTCTAGGCAGGTTCCAAGAATCAGACGTGATTGAATGGTAGGAAAAAATTCCTTGAATCCTTGCTTAGTGATTCTATCATACAGCAACCATTTACAGTTATAGTGGTAATGAAAAAAATTTTTTGCAATCAATCCTCAGTTATAATGTTTGGAGATTTCTAAAGCAAAGATAGCTGAAGTAAGCACAGACACAGTTACAGTTTGAGCGACCACTTTGCTTAAGGACTAAGTTGTCAGTTCCAATTGTGATTGCTTAAATGAGGGCTACCTTGTAGAATCACAAACTTGCTCCAGGTGGGTATTTATCATAAAATTTCAGGCAAGTATTTACATTGTTAGTCATTCCTGCTTTGCAATCTCTAAACTCGTTTATAAGGTAGCCTTGTAATAAAGCCTTTTGCCTTTATTTATTTATAGCAATACCACTTTTATACCTCTCTATGGTGCTTTTAAAGCATTCTCTGAGTGATTTACAATGTCAGCATATTGCTCCCAACAATCTGGGTCCTCATTTTACTGACCTCAGAGGAATGAAAAGCTATCTCAACCTTGAGCCTGTCAAGATCAAACTCCAGACCATGGACAGAGATAGCCTGCAATATTGCATTCTAATCACTGTATCACCAGATCTCCTGTATTTATTTATTTATCTATTATCTCTCTTATGTTTATCTATTTATTTATACAAGTTCTATTTTTGCCTTAATGAAATATCAGGTTGTCTGTGGTGCAATTCAAGAGGCTACTGTTTCTACTTGGTGTAAGAACTAATTACCGAAGGAACCCAAAGATCCATACTACAATGCATTGGAGTTGTCAGAGGCACAAGTGTAGCATTTTTCTGCAACTCTTTAAAGCAGCCTTATATTTACCTGATACTGGTCATAATCCTAGTAAAATATATTTGCACTTTGAAACCATATTAAGCAGTTGGCAACACCACTGCTTAGTAGTGGTCCTTATCCAGGAAAGCACCTTTGCCTATTCCAAAATGGTTCTGTATCTAATTCTACTTTTAATTTTAAAGAATTCATTTAAAACAAAAACCCTTACTCATAGATAATGAGAACAAACTGTGAGCTTCTATCTAATGTTATACATTTTAAACGTCAAGCAATGACTTTATGGCGACCAATGGGGCTTACTCAATCAATCTGATGATTTTAAGGATGGATTGAATAAACTGTTAGATTGTATGATGATTTGTTAGAAGACGAAACACAGTACTTTTATTGCACTCTATATTTTATTGTTACTTATAAGAGCAGAGGGAACAATCTGTGTTATTTCATAATTATCAGAAGCTCTCTCCTTTTTTAAATATACCCCTGAGTGCTCTTTCATAATTTCTCAATCTTTCTTCTAAAAGACAAAAGCCCCTCATAGACTCATTTTGTTGGAGGAATCAAAGTAGCAGGCCACACTTGAATTATAGATATAACTCTGAGAAGTTCCCCAACCCTTTTAGACAATGTTTGAAGAAGACAAGTAATATGCCTTTAGTCACAATCTCCAGCCACATGTATGTAAGTCAAATGGGGGATGTATGCACTTCTTTAAAAGCAGGGGGAGGTTACTTGAAGCTCTGCAGCTTCTTTTGAATCTCTGCCTAATATAATGCAACTCTTAGTCTAATTAACCCATGTAAGTGAAAAAAAATTAGATCTCTGGAAAGACTGAGCTTCTTCTAACCAAGCAGAAAATACAGAGAAAAAGGAGGAGGAATAAGAAAATAGCACTTCAAAGAAAAAAGGAAGGGTCAGCAAGAATGAAAATAAGAGTGTCAGAAGAGTATATGTGATGTAACTATATAACAACAGCAATGTGCAATGAAGTCACTCTCCTCCTTACCATTCCTTATTTCTTTCATTTATATAACTGCCCATATCACATAGCAGCTATGGGCAGCTTACAGCAGCAAAAACAATACAAAACATACTGTAAAATGCAGCTACACACCAAACAATCAAGAGACTAAACCAATCTAAACATTGTAGCATGTACCAGATTGTCACTAAAATGATTATTCCCATGCCTGGAATGAGATCAGTCTTAAGGGCCTTTAGAAGGATCAGTAAAGTTGGGACCAATTGAAGCTCAGGGAGAAATAGTCTTCCATTGGCCAGAGACATCAACCAATGAAGCTTATTTAGCTAATGTGCAACATGCGCACACTGACGCACATGCATGGGTTGCTGCATTTTGCACCAGCAGCTGCGTCCAGATGCTAAATTTGATTTAATAAAAGTGTTTCCTATCTTCAACATCTGAAAAAAATTTTTTTAAGGGAATTCACATATATACAGTAACATTGCCATTATTAGCAGTTATTTTATTGTGTTAAATATATTGCCACTTTAACATATAATTGAAAAAATACTAAACAAATCTTTGTGCAGTCTATTGAAACCATTAAAATATGATTTGTAATTATTTATCAAGCACAGAAATGAACTGGAAACCAAAGTTTAATTCTCAATGGTATCATTAAGATTGGAAAACTAAAAGAAATTTGCCTAGACAAATCTGTGCATCACTTAATGTAAAACAATGATAATTAGGTTTCAGCTGAATTTGCAGATTTCAGAATTGTTGGGAGATTTGCACATTCAGAAAAAAAATTCTCCTCTATCACACAATGAAATAGCACCTAGATTTTTTAGTATAATAAGTTCTGAAATTGAAAGCAATCTTGGAAGGGCTGGGCAAATTCCAAGGTCTCATCATGCCAGCAACCAATTTATCAATGAATATACTAGATTTCATCCATGGCAAAATTGTCAGTAGAAGACAGAAATACAAAGAAACTAAGGACAACCTTATGCTATATCAGGCACAGATTGAGATTTAGATAACATGACAGGGAAAAAGAAGGACGTTCATGTAATGTTTTGGCACAAGAGGAAAAGCCCATGGTTTGGATCTAAGATGTGACTAGATAATAGCTTATTTCCACAGAACCAGCAATGGGCAATGCAATAACGATATTATAGCATTGCCCATTGCTGGTTCTGTAGAAATCATCATCCACATTAAAAGATTATAGCCTACTACATCCCAGAATCCTTCCAAAAGCTCATGTCAAACTGTAATTTTTAATTTCACAGGAGAGAAAATTGTCATATACAAGAAAAAAAAATCACATTAGTTGAATTAAATGTAAAGTATATATTTATACTGAATTTAAACAAATGGAATTTTCTTCCTTGTTCCTCAAAGTTCTTTGGCCTTAGTTGAAGTGTTTTAGTATTATTATTACTTTTTGCTTTAAAAAGCTTGATTTATATTGTAGTTCAAGTCAAGCAAATGAAAACATTCTAGAGAAGAACTTTTCCAAGTATCTAAAAACTAAATGAAAATGCTGAACAAGTTTTAAGATCTTTCAGTTCTTCACAAAAAGAATAATAGATATGTGTGCTTCAGTTCAACCCCTGCGTTGCTTTGTGTTTCTGAGTAGATCTGAAAGGAGGATAGAATTTTACTCAGCTAAAGATTTTAAACAAAATCTTGAACAATCTAGGGGGTACAATAACATACGAATTTGATAAATAATTAAAGAAATAAATTAATAAAATAAATAAAATAAATAAATAAAATAAATTAAATGAAAAGAAATAAGGTGTTACAGATTAACTAGACTTCCCAGATATTGTAAAACTTGAAATCATGTTAACGTCTTATGTTTGATTCATAACTCTGTTAATTTGTGGAGAACAATAATTTCGTGAATTTCCAGATGACAATTTTCACCAGATTCTGCTGCATGCATGAATACCTTTAATTTTACAGCATACATGAATATTACCTGCCAAGGTTCTGTAATCCACTAAGTCAAACATGACAATAGCCACTGCTGACCAGGTAACAATAAGAGCAACTACAAGGAGCCATGCTGCAGGTGAACTGAAGGTTGTTGCAAAATCTTCTGATACTGATCTCTTGGACATTTTCATATGCGGCACAGGAACTGTTCCATTCTTGTTGTCTATGACAGTTGTTGTGGACACAGGTCCTAACAACAAGTAAAAGACATTAAATCAGTGCACAGTAACTTGATACGGCATTTTCACCGTTATACTGCATTTCCACCAAGACAAAAAGAGGAAAAAGAGAAAGCGAATACAGGAAGCAAAGTATTCAATGCAGCAGAGTTTGACGTGGTAGGGAAGTAGCCAAAAGGAAGAGAATTCCTAAGGCAGTTGGCAACTAACCATCATTCTTAGGAGAAGCATAGAGAAAAGGAGAAGAGAATATGAAAAGAAGTAAAGAAAAAACAGAATTGAAAAAAAGTCAAAGACAACATTTACAGGGCCAAGAGAAACAGCAAGCTTTTGAAAGTCACACAGCAGTGCCTGTAGAATAGGCCCCAATTTCTCTCTTTCATTATAAGTGTACTCTACAGTAAAATGAACCCTTAAATGTTTTAACTTCTCGCTGTTCTTTATATTCATATTTTAATAAAGGCAAATGTATAACAGTTTTTATTCAAATTTACATTTGAAATTGTTTTTTTTTTATTTATAGTTAACATTTAGCTCCATTGTAAGAGGTTTTAAAAATAAAGAATCCAAGAGTTTCCTTTAAGGAATAATACCGTACACTTAATAAATGCTTTATAGCTGTTGTTACTATTTCTCAGTACTACAAACCATAATTTCCATCTTGCTATGGTTTGGGAATATAAATGTGATTGCAATATGCCTTCAATTGAACCTTGGCTTTCATTACTCTTGTTAATTGTAAAAGTTGCTTTCTGTTTAACTCTACTTTAGTTAGCCAGGATTTAAATGGCCAGCTGGATGTCCACATAAATAAGCATACTATCAAGCAAATACATCTTCCAGAAATGATAAGTAGTTTAAGTTTAAGGTAAAAATTAATTTGTTATTGATATTTGTCTCTTACTTAAATGAAAGTTATATCCTAAGTACAAGACTAGCTATGAGTTGCAGGCTTCTATTTTGACAGTTAAATGTATTACATTATGACACATTTTTTAAAAAAGTATGGAGAATATTTATAGTCAAAAGTCATCTCTGAGACAAGTTAGATTCTTGGTGATTCATAGGAATATGTTCCTATAAATAACAACAACATCCCAGTAAGTAATCTGTCATGCCCCTGTCAGAGTCTGAATCCAAGGAGAAAGACAAACAGCTGACAGGGAGGGAGGGAGAGGCTCCATTGGCTGTGCAGGAAACTGGAGAAGGGCAAAGTCAGGCTGGACAGAACAGGGAAGAGGTAGAACAAGGGAGAGGAAGACAAACACCCATGCCCTCTTCATCCTAGGGCATGCAGGGAAGAATGGAGAAGAGAGCAATGTGAGTTGCATGGCTTACAAGGGAGGAATGGGCCCTGATTCCCTTCACAAGGCATAAATGAGAGGCAGTTTGGGAGAGGCATTTGTCAGAAACAAACATTGAGTTTATCTCATGTTGGCTGCTGTTATGTAAGTTCCTGGAATCCTCCCAGCTAGTTTGATTTATTGCTGTGTTACTTCACTTCTGGAACTTCTTATCTTGCCCTGCCAGATTTATTACCTTATCTTGTGTTGCTGAATTCATAGTTTAAAGTTTTCTGTTTATAACATTTTGGACTGGAATATCTGTTGCAGGTTCCTGGGAGAGTTTTTCTCCAGACTGGAAGGTAACCAGGACTTTGGGGGCAAAATTGGAGCTAATAAAGAGACTCCTCCTTATTATTCTGGCTGTGTTGCCTTTGTGCCATGCCCAGGCCATCACACAACCTCAGGATGGCACTTAAACAACAGAGATGATTCAATCATTCAGACAATCAGTTTTGGATATGACTTTATATAGCTGAAGGCAATGATTCCAAAATTGGCAAACTGGCATTGTTCTCATTTTGAGTAGCTTGCCTCAATGACCTAAACTTTATTGGACAACATATATAAAGTAAACTTGCCATATGAGAACAGGAATAAACTCTACTTGATGTCTCACATGTAATTTTATTAAAAGTTTCTATACAAATTATTTGTTCCCAACATAAATTTGTACCTTATTCCTAATGTTTATTTTTATCTCAGATAAGATATCAACGATTAAACAAGTCTACTAAATCATAATAGAAATAATTTGATTTTCTGTATAGTGTAGCTTTAGTTTGTCATTTCAGTGTAAATCATATCATTTAGCAATGTGGAAAAATTAGATTATAATTTATGCATAAAAAACTAACTGTACGTTATTTTAAGTTTACACAATGACATATAATCAGAAGTGGTGAACAATATCTAAGGAAAGAAAAGTGTACTTCTGCCACGATTCCCAAATGAGCACAATAACTTCCCCTATCAATATGACAATCAATGCTTGTTTAAGTTATTTTGCTGCAGATTTTAGCCACAGAATGAGATATTTGCAGATTTAAATGTGGTGACTGAAATTTCAGAACAGTTCCACCAATTGTCAGAATTAGAGCTGTTCAGATGTGTCTTTACAATCATTCATGACGGTAACACAACCTCCCAGCTTTGCTAGAGAAAATTCTAAATGCTTTTCAAAGTCGACAGACATAATTCTAATTGGCTTCCTTGTCAGCAGGACTATTTTACCATTTTGCATTGTACACAATTTCATTTCTTCTTTGTCTGTTTTTCATTTGCATTCTTTTCAAACATTCTTCTGCTGATCAAGTGATTTGATTGGAACTTAGGATTTCTACCTTGAAATGTCATGTAAGCTGAACAAAATTGGCATAGTTTTTGCCAACTACATGAAATGGGTGTTATTGATGAATGATGCATTCAGCTTAGTGTATTCATATAGATAGATGCAATCTGTAGGCTTTTAAAAACATTTTTACATGTTAAAAGGCATCACTTTTTCCATTTTCCAAAGCATAATTTTGGTTCCGTCAAATTTCTTCAGGAGACAAAGTGTTCCAAGGAACTGTTACAAAGCTCTACTATAAAATACCAAATTTCAAATCAGTAGCATTATGTCTTCCATCAAAAGTGGAACAGTTGTGTGATTGCAACAGGTGATGCTGCTTAAACACATTCTATTTCAGCTGCTTCTATCATGATGACTATTATTATATAACAGTTAACAGAGTTAACAGCTAACTGTAAAGGCATTATATTACAAAAGAAGATCCTGCCCACAGATTTCAAAATTGTTCTGAGTATCACCTGATTTACATATCAGAAAATCAAAGGGAAAACAGATATGTCTGAAGTTGTCCTGATTCAGATTCCTCTGCCCCATTTTGGACGGTTTGACAAATCTTTGCATAAGGATGAACTAATTAAAGAATTCTTTTACAAATTCTAATTCAAGCTCACCTGCCCTGCAACACCTGGACTAATATGTAGATTGAGGTATATCTATTTATCTGACTTTGCAGTTCTCTGACATGATTTTAGTTCAAAAACCTGATGACTCGCATTAGAAATATTTTGAAGAAAAATAGCGCAGGTAAAATGATGTATTTCTCCAAAAAATTCTGCTGCTAAATATTGAAAGTGGAATATTACTCAATGCTCAAAAATACAGCTTGTCCTTGACTTACAACAGTTTATTTAGTGACCATTCAAAGTTACAATGCCACTGAAAAAGTGACTTATTACCATTTTCCACACTTAAGGACTGTTGTAGCATGTCCTAGATTCTGAGGTCATTAGTCTTCAGAAGAAAAGAAAGAATAGAGACATTTGTTTGTTTTTTTGTGCCTTTAGTTCAGTGCTGACTTCCGGCAATTGCCTGGATAAGAACACATTATTTTTTCAAAAGTGGTATGCATTGCCTCCTTTCTAGGGCTGAGGGAGAGTAAATGGCCCCAAATCATCAGCTGGCTTCATGCCTACAGAAAGATTGGAATTTAGTCTCTCACTTTCTAGTCTGATGGTTTAAACCACTTCACCAATCTAGCTCTCTGGGGATATTATAACGGTCTTCAAATACCTGAAGCAATACAACTCAAAATCTATTTTTGTTGTCTCAATCTGAGAGACCCAGAATACTTATTTTAAGATACAGAAAAAAATATCCTAACCAAGAAAAAACATCCTAGTTTGACACTGGAATAGTAGTCTCAGAATATAGTTAATTATCTCTTTGCCAAGTGTATTCTAGCAGAGACTGTATAGTATTCTTTGGCCTTCTGCATTGGGCAAGATTTACACTTAAAAACCCAAATATCTTTTTCTAGATTAGTGATTTAATTTTTCTAGATGGCTCCATATTCAAGTACTGTACTATACATATTTCATCTCTTCTAGAAGACATTATTATCAGATAAAAATTGGATTAAATATATACATGCCAAGCAAAATTATGTACAAACCCATTTTCTATACGAAAATGTGTAGCAGGGTTTTGAATGAGACAAATCTACAATGAAATCAATTTCAAGACTGCTTTTAAGGGACAAATACAGAAAATACTCCTTAAAACAATATGTGACCTGTTATTGCTTCTGTCTTTTATAATTTAAAAATGAATTAATATGGAAATAAAGTGTCTCTTTCTACAGAGTTCTTCCCCTCCTTCTGCTTATATCTACCTGAGATTGGAATCTGCCTTTATGATATAATAATTTCCACATCAATCTATCGTGAAGGTTATTATTGCTTTTAACTAAGAACAAAGCACCTGGAAAATTTGGTTTTTAAAAAGAAAAAAGAACTGAATCCAAATATACTTCATAAGAAGATCGTGTTAAGTAAGATATAGTTGTTTTCTCCATACATAGATTTTTCACATTGATAATTGAAATTAATCATAAAGCTAGTATTATTTTTTCTAGCATTCCTCATTCATTATTGTAGTAGAGGCAGCCAGAAAGTGAGACTAGATTGGCCAGGAGATATCTGAATGAGGCACGTCTATATTTTTAAAGGTTTCTGATTCTCAATCATTGTCAGTAACAACAATAAAAAGTGCATTTGCTTCTTTCTATCGAACTAAATACTTCAAGTCTGACAATGATGAAGACAAGAAATGATGAAAAGATTAGAAGCTGGAAAGAAATGCCTGGTCTGACCAG